AAAAGGGAGCACTGTATAAATGGCTATTCCCAGAAGGGCTGAGTTTTAATTACCAGGATAAAAAAATATATAAAATTGACTCTGTTCCAAAAGCGGAAAGATTTATGGATCAAATGTTCAATGTAAAAAAGAAGTAGAAGGAAAACAATCTAAAACTGGATGTGGAGGAAGAAGAAGAAGAGGAGGAGTCCTACTCACAGGACTCAACAAGCCAAACTTCCTCATCATCAGAACCATCTGAATTGGAGAAAGGGAGAAGCCCGCTCCCAAGCTGCAGAAAACGAAGAAATTCAAGAAGAAAAGATTCTAAAACTAAAGCATGAGTGCTAAGGGCAGTAATTGTGCCAAGCTAATAACTTTATATTTTTATAATCGAACTAATCTCTGTATAACCTATACTAATAGGTTAAAAGATCTATTCTTTTAGCTTCTCAGATCGTAATTTGTACTAGTCTTTACCCTATCCCTATATCCAGTAGGAGATTTAGAATAGAATGTTAGTTTTCCTTCCCCTATCCAGTATATTATATGTATCTTGATTTCCTTGACCCATTTCCCATAGTAATAATGATAGGGCATTAGTATTCCTCTGCCCATCACATATCTGTAGTGAGTAGAAAATGCAAAAATAAAAAACTCCCCTTCGGGGGAAAAATCAAAATAAATATTAGCTAAATATTAACTCAAATTCTTACATTTATACAAGATGGTTGCTAACCCAACTGTATTATTAGAAAACATGTTAAGAGTTTTAATTAGTTAAGTTTTAGATAGATATACTGAATAGAATATCAAGAATATTATTAATGTTAAATAGTTTGTATTGTTTGGGATTCTCTGTATCAATTGTTTTATATTTATTTAATTAAAATTATTACAGTTTTTAAAAAGCAGGGTGTAACTCTGCTTGGGACAGTATCACCAGTTTCCAAGCAGAGTTACAGTCACTGGGCGTAGAATGACACTGTCAGGCATTTGTACTTTTCAATTTCATAAATACGTCAAATCGTGCCATTTTATATGCTGAAGTGCAAATGATGGATTTTATGTTGTTAAAAGCAATGAAACCACTTTGGGCTTGATAAGAAAGTACACGTATTCCATTTTCCCTTAATTTTCCTGGTTGTCCTGAAACACACACACACACACACACCCCGTGGCTTCAAAATTACCAGAAATTTAACATCTCTAGGCAGCGGATAAAAATCCCAAGACCCTCTGAGTAATTGACTTCCAGCTTCTGAGCCAGATGACTGAGTCAGAACCCTTGGATCCTTTCTCAGTGTGCACAGTCTAATCTGACGAATTGCTTTCAATACCCGCTTGTTGGGCTTTTTTTGTGATGGTAGGGTACTACCGGTGTCCTACACATTCCAAGCCCATCTGCAGCATCTGGTGTAGGCTCAGGGGCTGGGCTGTCTGTCTGAATCTTTGGATGTGTGACAAATAACACCTTTGAACAAGGTTTTTGTCAAATGAATGATTGAATATTTTTGCCTTATTACCCTCGTGGCCTTCACAGTTTGGAAAATGGAGACCCTCTGTATTTGGAAAATACGGTGTTGAAAAGTAAAAGGTGCCCCCCACCCAAAAAAACCTTTAAACATTGTATTTTTTAAAAAAATATAGAATATCTATAAATTAAAGTGCCTGGAGGAACTGTTGTATGGCTTGCAAAACATTAAAGACTGGGATGCTGTTTATGTACTCTAATGATAAGGAATTGTGACGATATCATGTTGTGAACATTTGGCATATGGCGGCGGAAATAATGTGCTCTCTGTTATCTCGCAAGGTCTGAATAGGCAGCAGAATCTGACAGTAATTCTTTGGCAGCGCTGCTTACGGCGGTCTGATTATCTTAATGTGTGGCGTTGAGGTCTGGGAAATGAAACATCACCACTATGGATCTTTTCCATCAGTATATTTGTTAAGTAATATGGTTAATATGTAACCCACAGTATAAAGTGTGGTGTAGTTGTTGGAAAGTTGAACTGGGCTGTGGGAGACCCAGGTTCCAATCCTACTCTTGCTGGGTGACCTTGAGCCTAACCTGCCTCACAGGGTTGTTGTGAGGATAAAGGGAGGAGAGAAGAACAATGTCAGCTTCTTTGGGTCCCCACAGGGGAGAAAGGCAGGGTATAAACAGAGTAAGTAAATAAATACAAGTCTGAATAGTATGCAGAATATCAGTCTGCAGAATAAAAATGCATACTGCTCGAATCACTTTTAGTATTTGCAAACCCTTTTTATACAAAAGATGTGTGTTTGTGTGTGTGTGTGTGTCTGTTCGAAGAGAACAAAAAGATAACTAGGCAATGAAATTTAATGTATTCATTTACGTCTCACTGTTCAAACGGAAGGTCAGGCTGACTGACAACACGAATGAAACACAATTACTCTTCAGTATATAACAAAGAAAGGGAAGACTTGCCCATGATAAAAACAAATTACAGGATCACCGTCATGAAAACCTTGATAACTATACAAATATTGCCACTCAAGTGACATCTCAGTTTCCATTTGCCAGCAGTGGTGGTCAGAAAGCAGCCTTCTGAAACAGTCTGGCCTTGCAGGGTTTTTTTTTTTTTTTGGAAGGCCAAGAGAATGGAATTTGGCATATTTCCTCTGAGTAGCATGACCATAGTGGGCTACAGCTGCCAACCTCCAGGTGGGGCCTGGAGTTCTAAAATCACACTGATTACACTGAGTTAAGACAGATCAGTTCCCCTTGAGAAGATGGCTGTTTTGGATGGTGGACAGTAGGGCATTATACCCTCCCCCCCGCTGCCCCTCCCCTCCAGTTTGGTGTAGTGGTTAAGTGCACGGACTCTGATCTGGGAGAACCGGGTTTGATTCCCCACTCCTCCACTTGCAGCTGCTGGATGACCTTGGGCAAGCCATAGTTCTGATGAGAGCTGTTCTTGAAAAAGAGCAGTTTCTGTCAGAGCTCTCTCAGCCCCGCCTACCTCACAGGGTGTCTGTTGTGGGGAGAGGAAGGGAAAGGAGTTTGTAAGCCGCTCTGAGACTCCCTTGGGTAGTGAAGGGCGGGGGATTAATCCAATCTCCTCCTCCTCCTCCTCTTCTTCTTCCTCTTCCTCCTCCTCTGTACCCCACAGGCTCCACCCCAAATATCCAGGAATTTCCCAGCCCTATCATGGGGTTGGGGTGCAGCTACACAAAAGCTCTCATACCACAGCTCAGTGTATGTCTGAAGAAAAGATGCTCAGGAGAAATGGTTGTGTGGACTTAAGGGTGTGACCACAGCTCAGTGTATGTCTGAAGAAAAGTGTACATGGATCTATATAGAATGGAATGTTCAATTATGAATTGTGTAGAAAGTGGACAGGGCTTTTGTTTCATTTGTATGTGTGGGGGGTTGCCTTCAAGTCTAGAACCTGGGGCTGTCAAATAGAATTTATTGGCAGCAGGTTCAGGACAGAGGGGGGAAAGTATATAACACACAATTTGCTTATGGAACTCACTGCCACTAGAGATGTTGTGTGTGTTTGTGTGTGTGCGTGGGTGGGTGAGTGGGAAGACAAGTGAAGGCTGTTGTCCTTAAAGGGTTCTAGTTGCCCACTGTTGGAGTCAGGATACTGGATGTTGGACTTATCCATCAGTGCTCTTTGTTGTGCATATGTGTACTTGATAAAATTGTCAAAACAGAAGGGTTGCATAAGGGGAAGATTCATTTATAAATACAAGCCAGAACTGGAATGTCTGAAGCTTTCAGATATGACTCAAACACAATATTGATAAAACATGTTTAAAGCTGAGTTCACACCTTTTAATAAATTAAGTTCTGAGCAATCTCCATGAATTTAAATGAGCAGCAGTTATCTAATGTTAGATTTTTTAATGGACATATTAACCATTATGTGGTTCTCCATTTAAAAAAATTTAAACTAATGCTCAGTTGAGAATCAATCTGAAGACTCACTGAAATAATAAGAGTAAGTGGCTTATTTGCATTTTTTAAAAGTGTAATGTTTTAAAATCATGTTAACAACCAGAAGTGTTTGTCCTCTTCAGTAATAACGAACTAGAAAATAACACATTCATTCACCCTTTCAAAGTTCATGAAACAATTTTTGTTCATGGCATTTATGCTGGAAGTGGCCTTTGCCCCCTTTGACATACAAACTATCCTGAAAGGTTTTTTTGTTTTTAAAATCTCTTGTATTTGGAATCTGGAGCTGCCTGTCTGACTGACTTTTTGTTCATGTGACTTTTGTGGAAGGAAAATACAGATATGAGACATGGAGTGACTGTTCCTGTCTGCCAGGCATAGTGCATACTTCTGCCTCTGGCAAACCACCATCCATGCCTTTTGGGGAATACCTTGCTGAAGTTTTGTGAAGTCGAATTGCCCGCTAGCATGGTCATTCCACAAGGTTCAGCCCACTTTCTAGAATCTTTGGCATTGGGCGAATGTTTCATGCTTGTATTGCACATTTAGATTAATTCATGCTCACAAACACTAGGCCACCACACGGGGCCACTGAAAACACTAATGCTACACCAGAGTCTTGTCTTTTGAATTAGCGGAGGATCGGGGTATTGGAGAATACCTCACAGCAGCAGGTAGCAAGGAGCGCTGTAGAGTGCATCATCTTGGTGTGGGTGAGGCTGGCAAAGTGATCCGTGGTATGGGAACAGGTGTGTTGCAGACATGTCCTTAGTTCCACCTATGAAACATGGGAGAGATCTATGCATTCCAGCTGTTACAGTGTATTCCTGAGCATTATGGCCTATTCAGGGGGTTTAAAAGGGCGTGTTTAGAACTGTATTTGTCCAGTGGCACCTTACAATTTACCACTTTATTCTAGCATAAGCTTATGCTGCAATAAATCCTGTTAAGTCCTTAGGGTGCCACTGGGCCTCCTGTTTTAATTTTTCTGCAAGACTAACGTGGCAGCTACCACTCTGGAATGACCACATATTGGAAAAATTCTTCTTGTGATGTGAGAGACCAATTTCCCTTTCTTTTCTTCCAGGTGACCAATAGCAGTCGCGATGAGAGCAACAGCCGCAGGGCGATTATTCATATGGTGATAAAGATGATCAACAAGTCTCGTAAGTGAAGGCACTTTGCCATTTCCTCCTGCTATGCTGCGCTCCTCCTAATTATATGGAAAAGGTATCTTTGCTCAGGACAGTGAAGAATGATGGGTGGTGGACAGGGGGGAATGTGTAGGGGGGACTTCACTCCGGGCCGGGCAAATGGATTTAAAGCAGAATAATTTACAGTGCAATTCTGCACTGATCTACTCTAGTCCAAGATAATTTATTTCAGTGTGCTTAGATTGTAGTATCTCCGCATAGGATTGCACTATTAATTTGTGAAAAGGCCCGTTAAAGATATTGATCTAAATCACATTTCCCATTAGTACTCCGTTTATTTCCTGAGCAATGATATGTGCTAATTGGTTACTCTAACCACTGAAACATGTTAATGTACAGCAAAGCAGAGCATCTGTGCTATCTAGCAGCAGTAGACTTTGTATACCTTTGTATGACATGTTATTTTTACTGAGTTTAGAAAATGCTGCTTGGTGGGTGCAGTGCTTATGGAGTTGTAGAGGATGACCCATGTGTCCGGCACTGCACAAACATCTGTAGCAAATCCAGGTTGCTCAAGAGCTCACAAACTGCCAGGAAAAGGAAGCAGGGTAGGATCTGTAAGCAGTTGGATATTGCACTATTGTAAATGTTCATCTCCTGGATTCACTGGCTTTGATGCTTTAGTCATTTCTGCTGCCACCCCAAATATACTCTGAAATGCTATTTCTGGGGAGGGGGGTCCTGACCAGTGTTTAAGCTGAGTTAGTGTGAGCTAACTCACAGTTTTTTAACCTCTGGCTCACACATTTTTGTCTTAGCTCAGGAGGATGGCTCCAGAACAAACTAATTTATGCAGTAGCCAAATTGCTTGTTCACAACTTTAATGCCAGTAGCTCACAAAGTAGATTTTTTGCTCACAAAACTCCACAGCTTAAAGGGAGCATTGGTCCTGACTCCCAGGAACAGCAAGACGTAATTTAAAACAGGGCCCTACTAACGGAACTAAAGAGTGCAAGACTCCTTGTGAGTCCTGGCTCAATTTAAAATTGCTCCCTTCCTTTTGCTGCCTTGACTCTGTCTTTATAAACATGTTGTCTCTTACATGGCTCTGTGTTACAACCTGTTGTCTCTTGTCTTGTTCAGGATGGAAGATCCTTGGAGTATTGGCAATATTTTTGGTGATGGTGGGGTATATAATATCCCGAGAGGAAAGGTACATACAGCTGTGAGTGTATTTCTTTAAAGAAAGAAGAAATTAAGTGGCACTAAGGTGGTTCTTGATCTTTCTCCCCACCCTTGCCTTTTCTAGGAGTCAGTTTAGATTCTGAATCAGACACTGCCTAATCTATGAAAGAAGAAATGGCGGGGGGGAGAAGATAAATTTCTCTATGTATTTGCTTCCTTCATAGTTCACTTTTCTTGCTCACGTTCAAAGCCAATTACGACATTTAGAAAGCAATGCATACTTTTTTTAAAAAAATAGCAGGGCGATAAAATTAGGTAACATTAGAAAACAGTGCAATAAAGGCTGTCTAGATATATCACTCCCTAATCAGAGGAGGGTTTTTTCCCCCCAATAGGAACATGTCAGAGAAATGGAGTTAACTTCTACTGCTCACTTCCACGAGGAGTGATAGCCATTAGGTGAGACTGAAATCACACATGTAAAGCACAGGAAGGCTGAAATGCGATTGGAACTTGATCATCCTGTGTGGCTGTTGAAAATTTCAGAAACCTGGTGCAAATGCGTGTAAAACCACCTTTCTGGGGGGTTTTTTTGGACAGTTTTATTTAACTTTTACAAAGTATATTCATACATATACTGATATTCATATACATATAACATGAAAGAGCTTATTCTTTTTCTTTATCCATTTATATATCCTCGCCCATCTTTCTTGAAATATTTTATCATCTTTTCCTTGCAATATTACACTCAGTTTATCCATTTCTGCCACTTCTAAAAGTTTCCCAGCTAATTCCTTTCTTGTTGGTATCTTATCTTGTTTCCAATACTTCGCTATTAGGATTCTAGCTGCTGTAAAGATATAAGTCAGTACATATACATCATTTTCTTTGTATTCCTTGGGAATTATATTTAACAAGTAAATCTCTGGACATGGTTTTAGATTGATATGTAACATCTCTGTTATTATACTACTTACATTTTGCCAAAATCTATAGATTTTTCCACATTTCCACCACATGTGGAAGAAAGTTCCTTCATTTGCTTTACATCTCCAACAATTTTTATTTGGTGTTTTGTACGCTTTCATGCATGCATGTGGCCAGCACGAACGAAGCTGAAAAGTTCCTGAAATGATACATATGAATTTATATACTGCATATATTGTTATCCTTCCCTTCCTGCAAGGAGAACAGGGTGATGTATGTGATTCTCTGGCCTCCATTTTATCCTGACAGCAGTCCTAGGAAGTAGGTGAGGCTAAAAGAGAGTGATTGGTCCAAAGATACCCACACTGCTTCATGGCAAGCAGAGATTTAAACCTCGGTCTTCTCTAGACCTAGTCTGGTACTCTAACTGCTGCACCATGTTGTAGGAAGAAGACGCAGGCTGAGCCAAGAAAAATATGATTAAAAAATGAACTTGTAATTCCCTTTTTACTCAGAAATAAGTTGTAAAATTGCTTTCTTCTCCACTGTTTGATGCAGCTCCCCTCCTTTCCTTTGGTGACACGTGAATTTGGCCTTATAGCATGGCTTCGAAAGAGAGACTAATTCAGAAAGAAGAGTAGTCTATTGACCAATCGTTGGCTACAGAAGAGCAAGATTTGAGTCCAGTAGCACCTTATAGACCAAAAAGATTTTCAGGATATAAGCTTTGACTCTTGAAAACCTCTACTCTGGAGATCCTGTTTGTCTTTTAAGGTGCTACTGGAGTCAAATGTTGGTCTTCCGTGTTCAGAGGCAGTACACGACTGAGTATCTTCCAGATGCTTGGTGCAAAAGAATGGGTAGCTCCTGCCTGCTTGTGAGCTTTTAGGGCAATCTGCCTGTCCTCTGCTGGTTGAACCCACAAGGGAAATCATTGGGAAAAGTTGCCTGTTTTTCATAGCAATGCAGATCCATGCTGAGGTGGTTCTACATGGGGCTTCGCACATGAGATTTAATCTGACTGAGTGGTGGGGGGAAAGACAGCAATGCCTTTTTTTTCTTGTTTGCCTTCCAGTTTCTATTTCCCTTTGCAAGATGACAAGATGACTTGTCCACTAGGGGAGGTGGAAAGGAAAGCAGCGCAGCTCATAGCAAAGTAAGTGACTGGGCTAGAGGGATGCTGGAGGAGCTACATTATGGCCGGTCCCCCTCTGCTGCCTGTGGGCTCAGGGATAGCAGCGCTGGGCTGGGGTCCAAGGAGGGTTGACGGTTGCATCCTCTGGAGCATTTCTGCAGGTTGGAGGATTTCCACAGGCGGAATGATTTCTGCCCTGTGGAGTGTGATTCTCTCACTTCTCCCCCCTCTCCTGCAACAGCCTCAAATGTCCCCCAGGAGCAGCATTGGGGGAGGCATTTGGGGCTGCAGAAGGAAGGGGAGGCAAGAAAGTCCCACTCCATGGACAGAAATTGTCCCATCCACAGAAATGCCGCAATGGATCCAAGCCAGAATTTGGGGTGGAGGGAGGGAGAAACTTGTTGCAGTCTTTAAATTTCTAGCATGCCAGATCTCTGTGGTCATTTCCTTTGGTGTCATTACAGTTACACACGGGATCATCCACTGTTTTTACAGCTAAAGGATTACTTCTGGGTAAAGACCCCTTCGCTCTATGAACTGCCATACGGTACTAAAGGAAGTGGTAAGTAAAGCAGCTCTCTGCTCTTGCTTTGGTCTTTTGTCTCCCTTAATAGGTTTCATCTTTTCCACCTCTTTTTGTCTTGGCTGGAGGATTTCTGCTTTGATCTGCTAACAGTCCTTTCCTGGAACGTAACGCTCGTGCTGGTTCTTGGTACAGAACAGGAGCCTGTCCTTTCTCCAAGTGCCTCATAGCATCTTTCAGGGGGTCGATCTCCCATCCTGGCAGTTCACTGGGAGCTCACAAGTTTCGGCAGTAGAAGCTTGTCCTGTTCCTTCGTTTCTGTCTAATTGCTGTTCTTATTGCATGCTTGGTAATGTTAGGATACATTCGCATCATGTGGGCAACGTATCCCCGCCACATTCTTTAAGGGCCTGTTTATCCAAGAGTGAAAGGTTCCTACAGACCAGTATTAATAAACTGTGGTCTGTGTGGCGCTTGATTGACAAGTAGTAATGAAAGTGATAATGGCAGGAAACTGCAAACAACAAGAGAATTCATAACTAACATAGCTTGTGCCACGTGTTCTGTCCTTTGTGTGTCATGGGACAACCTGCCTTCTTACTTGTTTGCTGATTTTTTAATTTATTTATTTTTTGCTGAGAACTGGTTAGGTGGAAATTTTGCCCCAGCATTTTCTTCTGCATACAGAGCTGTTGATTGTGACCATTCCGCGCCCCTTCTTCCCTCCACCAGTTACCCTAACACAGTGCTGGTTTTTTGTGGCATTGGCAGTTGGCCTTTTCAACATCATCTGTTTGGGAAAGGGGGGGGGCACTAAAACACAATCACAGTCATCGAATAAAACCATCATTACAATGGAGTGCAGCTAATACGGAAAACAATCTGGCAGGCTCGTCTCAATTGCATTGCATTTCCTTGGAGATGTTCCTTAAATGTGAGGCAGGAGCCCTGATCGCACATTACAATGAGTGCCCGTACAGTCTGTATGCATTTGATTTTTTGTTTCACATTGCCCTTTTCAGATTTTACTTTTGGGGATATCTGTCTGCATGTACCTGGGAGTGTGTGTTACTCACAATCCTCCTGATACATGCGGTGGCTGTTTAGTTGTGAGCTGCCTCAGGCAGGTCTGGGAAGGTGGCATGCAAGTTTTTAAAATAAATAACTCTTCTGATGGATTGCTGTACGTACCAAACCAGAAGGTGTACTTGGTACCCTATTTAGATGACATGCTGACGACATGTATTGGGAGGATCATGTGCAGTACATTGTCCCAGTACACATGGTTGGATATACCCAAATGTAACATCTGGAAAAAGACTCATGTTAAGTAATTTTTGTTATATTCGGTGTATGTGCAGCAGAATGCACAATTTATCCAGCTACTGGTCCCTGGTTTTATTTTTAAAGTGTAGCTGTGTTGGCTCTTTCAGACAGATATATCCATAGGGAATGCATGCACATTGTTTGTAATGTGTACAATACTAGAGTTAGCATCTAGAGAAACAGTGAAATACTTAAATACAGCAACTATATGTCACAAAAGCTAGTGATTCCAGCCCTGATCTGAATTGGCCAGGCAAGCTTTATTTCGTCAGATCTTGGAAGCTAAGCATGGTCGGGTCGACTCTGGCAAGTACTTGGATGAGAGACCTTCTTGGAATACCAGCAGTCAGGAGGCGGGGGCAGGCTTTCTCAGTCCATCACCAGAGGTTGCCATGACTTCCAGGTTCACACACAGTCCATCATCATCAGAGGTCGCCATGACTTCTAGGTGCACACACACTCACATGCGCGTGCACACACACACGAAAAATACAAAGAACCCCCCCCCCCCAACCAAACCAAAACAAAAGCTAGTGATTCCAACAAACCAAATATTCAGGATACTTTGTCAGGCATTAATTCTAGCTACAAGAGCATCCAGTTGTTATGTTTTACAAAAGAGCATCCAGTTGTTATGTTTTACAAAAGGGATGCCCCTCCCAAAAAATACAATCTAGAGTTTCAACAGTGGGAGAGCCATAGGGATGAAGTTTTTATGTGAGCAATGTCTGCAGACTTTGGTCTTCCAAAACCTCTTGTGTGCAGTATGTGGAATCTGTAAAAGCTCTTTTCAGCTTAGTGGCCTGAAAAGATACTTTTAAAGACAAAACCCTCTTTTCCAAGATAATGGGTGAAATTAGATGTAGAAATTGCTGCCAGTTGGATCCAACAGTTTCCTTCCATCAGTGATTTTTTAAAAAAATCCGTACTTGCCATTGCATGCAGATTTTCCCCTCCCCCATGAAGGATTCTGGTTATTAAATAATAAAGTCTTATCAGTATTCCTCTGTGAGTTGTTCTTGCATTGCTTTTAATTTTCTAAGCCACTAGTGCACGACAGAGTGAAAAGCAACACGACAATATGTGTTTCACTGCCTATTGTTAGGATTGGGTTATTTAATATTTGCACAAATCAGTAGTAGAGTACGGTAGGTGGAATCCTGTTTCAGGCTGTTCTTTCTTCATCCTAGGCTGGGCTTGACACGAACAGTAGAGGAAATGGTAATAGTTGTTACACTACTGAATCACTTTAGGGTGTGGTGGGAGATGGCGTTGTGCGTTTATGAAATGTATTTATTTATTAAAATATTTACACCCCGCCTCTCCTCTTGGTTCCTCCATATCGATTTTAAAGCTTTTAACCCTGAGATATTCCTCCCTCCCCAGCAGTCTAACATTTGGTCAGGAATGATTTTGCCACCTCATCAGGTGTTTGTGTGTGTACCGACCAACATGTTAACTTTGGGACTTCAGGGTGCATCCAGATGGACATAATCTTAGGTCCTTTCCGCACTAGACCTTAAATCCCGGTTCAACCCTGTCCCTGAACTTACATTCTACACTACATGCGAGTTCAGCCCTAAGGTATTGTGTTGTGAGTTGAACTCTGATAAAACCAGGGATGAGATCCAAGTGCAGAAAGGACCTCAGTCGTCTGCCTTGTGTAGAAATGTGCTTGCCATGTCCCCCCCTGCCCTTCCCAATTGAATCCAGTGGTAGCTGCCTCTTCCTGTTCACAGTAGAAACAGCTGTGCCGATTGGCTGGGAACTGGTGAAGTCAGTAACCTGCTTCTCCCTCTTCTGCAAAGCAGTTTTTATTATTTTTTTTAAAATTACCCCATTTGGGAAATAGAGAGGGGGAAAAATTAATCTCTATTTAATTGAATAAATGTACAGAACATGCTTTAAACACTTAAGAAAGGGCCGGATCAAGCAGGGCTCTTTTTGTAGCAGGAGCTCCTTTGCATATTAGGCCACACACCCCTAGTGTAGCCAATCCTCCCAAGAGCTTACAGAGCTCTTCTTACTGGGGCTACTGTAAGCTCTTGGAGGACTGGCTACATCAGGGGTGTGTGGCCTAATATGCATAGGAGCTCCTGCTACAAAAAGAGCCCGCCTGGGAGGGTAGATGAGCAAAGACAGATTAATGAATCAGCACTGAGACTACTGGCCTCCGGATCCATCGCATGGCTTACAGTAACAGCAGAGCACCAGGCCTCCATAGTGGGAGGGGGTAAAAAAAACCAGGCCCTGTTCCAAGCATCTATTTATACCCTTCCATGTGCACTATGTGCACCACTCCTTGAACAAATATTAGACGGAGGATTCATTCCACAAGTTGATAAGAGGAGGTGATGAGGAAACTTTGATTTACCTGAAAGCTGCACCCTTTTAATCCCAAAGACCACATGGTCTGGACAAGGATTTGGCAGCTGTGGGAACTCGGTTTTTTTTTAATATTTTGTTTGTCTCCCAATTTTGTCCTCGCCTGCAGCCCTGTACAGCAGGTTAGGCTGAGAGATTGTGAGTGGCCTAAAGTCACCCAGTGAGCACTGGAGTGGGAATTTGAACCTGGGTCTCTCCAACACACCTTCTTTGTTGCTTCTCCACGCTTCAGAGCCAAGCGGACATTCAGCACAGGTTGTGAAGCTGGAGGATGTAGCGATGGCCACAGGAATAAACAGCATTAAAAGGGGGGTTAGATAGATTCATGGAGGATAAGTCTCATCGCTGTCATCTTGATTCCATTAGCTCATGGCCTTAGCAAACGGCATCAAGAACCGCGGGAGAATAAGTCTATCAATGGTTACTAGCCATGGTGACAGAGGGGAACCTCCAGCAGGATTAAGCCTCTGAATCCCAGAACCAGGAGGCAACATCAAGGGAAGGACTCTGCCTCTATGCCCAGTTGTTGGCCATCCAGAGGAACTGGTTGGCCACTGCATGAGACAGGATGCTGGACTAGATGGACCACTGATCTGATCCAGCAGAGCTCTTCTTATGTTCTTATATACTGAATTTCAGTTTATGTTTATTACCTTGTTCTAGTAATGGACAGGTTTTCATATGATATCAAAAGAATTTATAGTTAAAAATAAATTATTTAAAATGCTGTTTCAGGAGAACAAATCTTGCGCTTAAGTCTGAAGCTAAAAGTAATCTACCTCTTAAAAACAAGGCATCAATCTCTCCCCCCATCCTGCCCAAGTATTCAGTATATTGAATGTTTGTTTCACCCTGAATATTTTGGGGAAAAGCCAGATGTGGGAGCTGCTACTCTGGGGGTTTTGGTTTTTTTTTGGGGGGGGGGGTTTGCAGAAAGCCAGACAGGATCACAGTGTAAATAACATAGTAAGTACAAAAAACAATCACTGTGATATTAGGCTACTATACTTTATATTTGATAATTTTACACATTTCATCTCTCCTTTTTGTTTTCCTGGAACAATTTTCTACTGTTACAGAGGGTTTTGTGTAACCCCCCCCCCCCCGCGCATTGATGCCTTAACTGTGGTCTGTTGATTTTATTACGATAGTGGTATCCTCAGAACATCTGACAAAGATGGTACCAATACTAAAAAACAAATCATTTCATTCACACAAATAAAAGAAAATAATAAAACACACAGACACATGACAAATTAACAATAACTCCAAGTGGCTCAAATACACCCATCAGGAATAGATGTGTCTAGTAAGCCGGGGGGTGGGTGGAAATAGACACTGTCCAGGTCAAATCTATGGCAATGGAGCATTATCATCTGAAACCGAGCAGAGAAGGGATCTGGAAACCTTCTGAAGTAGGAAGTTCCACAACTTTGGGGGCCACTACTGATAAGGCCGTCTTGGGTGCTCACTTCCTGTACCTTGGAACGAGGTGGAATATGGAACTGGGTCTTGCCTAAAGATCTGAATATGTAGGCAGGCTCTTTTGGGTAGTGGCAGTCTGTTGAGTTCTGTTTGTAATCTTGGTTTCCCATCTCCTTTTCTTTGGCTATCACTACGTCTCCAAATCTTGTGAGAGATATCTGCTGTATTTTTATTGTTGTTTGGAAGAGTTACGGATGCTTTTTCCTTATGATCAGCCTCTTTGCAGACAAAATAGGTAGCACAGAAAGTTGTTTTGTAGTCCAATTTCTCTGTTGTAATTGGAGAACCTTGATCACCTGTTTTTTCCTCAGGCATGTTTGTGGTGTCAGCATGTGGAAACATAATGCTGGGGACTAACGTTAAATACCCATCTTCTTCTCTTGCAGAGGAAATTCTCCTGCGGGTTCTGGCAATCACAAGTTACTCACTCCCTGAAAGCGTTCAAAGGTAAATCTTCCATACTTCCCTTCTTCTGTAGATGTAAGACCTCTTCCTTTCTGTCCATTATATTTTTATCCCACCCTTTCCCCAAGGAGCTCAGGACAGCATGCATAGTCAAGCCCCCCCCCCCCCCGTTTTATCCTTGTGAGTTAGGTTAGGCTGAGAGATATTGGGTTGGATCCAGGCTAAATTTTCCAGTGGTAGAATGGAACTTGGCTGCCCCCCCTTCCACTACAGCTCACGGATCTCCATGAAAAGCTACTGCTGGGCTGCAGGAAACCCTGGGAAATAATATGGGAGCTGTAGCAGAAAGAGGAAATAAGCGAAAATAGCCAGTGGAGTCTGGATCCAATCCAATGACTGGTCCAAGGTTATTATCATAGAGATTTGAACCTGTTTGCCGCTGGCTCAAGTCCAGCCACCGCACCAAACACATACTTATTTCATTTGTGCCATCTTTCCATCCCATGGGTTTCCAAAAGCTGTCAGGTTTATTGGTATTTATTTAGATGAGTGATATGTCACTTTTAGATAAGTGATGTGTCAAGCTTGCCCAAAGGCTGAACTGTGTTGGCCTGTCTCCCATTTATGGGACCAATAGCTGCATTGCCCTCCTAGTGTAATTGAAGGTGGGTTCACACATCCACATTCTGCACCCTAGAGTTGCAGCATTAACCGATGGTCACCATTCCTACAGAAATGCTTTGTTCATATCATCTGATGCCTCTGCAAACACTCCTTTGTTCGGTTGCAAGCTGCTGAGCCACGTTTTGTTAGCTGAAGGAAGAAGAAGCTTGGTTTCTTTGGCTGAAGCTGGCTTTTACTGGAAATTTAACTGGAAGACTTAATAGTATGATAACCAGCCATCTGGGAAACTGTGTCTTCAGTTTGAGCACATAACCATATAAAGCAGGGGTGTCAAACTCAGTTGTTATGAGGACCAGATTTGACATAAATGAGACCATGTCAGGCCAGAACATGTGTGTTATAAAATGTAATGCCAGGTAGCGGAGATGTAAACTTTATAACGGACACAGACAAGTGCAATTAAAGATTTTTTAAAACTTAAAATGAAATGTGCTTAAAACATTAGCACTCTTGCAATATTTTTTTTATTTAACAGTCTCTGATAACTGATGCCTCTTGCTCTGAATTATTGCATCAAAATCTGGAGACAATGTCTGTGCTGTAGCAATCTTGAGTGTGCTGTTCAGGTGTGTATCCGTACGTTGCAAACCTACTTCTGATGTATTGACATTCATTACAGAAATCTTTGAACGTGTTGTACATATTAGATTCGATGTCAAAAATGAAGTCAAATGAGGAGGAAGATCTATGTTTTATTTCAATTAACAGGAAAAGAGTTGGATCAAATAGTCCATCCAAAATTGACTACTTTCTTCTCAGCATATTCAGGAAATATGCTTCAATTAACAGGAAAACAATTGGACCAAATAACTCATCAAAAATTGACTACTTACTTCTTTTTCTTCTTCTTCTTCTTGAACATATTCTGAGCATATTCAGGAAATACATAATATTTTATACGTGGACTGACATCATCAAGAAAACAATTGGGATTTTATGTTTCAAATGTTGGAGAAAATGGACATAGGTCAACCCTTTGTAAATATTATTAAGGCAGTATACTCCGATCAAAGAGCAGCATTGAATGTAAACAAAGACCTTACATCATACTTTAAAGTACAAAAAGGTACCAGACAGGGTTGTCCTTTATCCCCATTGTTGTTCATATGGGTTTTGGAAGTATTATTGGGGAAGATAAGAGAAGACAATGACATAAAAGGCATGAGGATTAAAGGTTATTCATACAAATACAGAGCGTTTGCAGATGATGTGATGTTTTTAATTGAAAATCCAAGAGACAATTTACCGCTTTTGATGCAACGAATAGCGGAATTTGGAGATCTGGCAGGCTTTTATGTCAATAAGACTAAGACAAAACTGTTATGCAAAAATATGACAAAGCAGGAACAAGTTGAGTTGCAAGAACAAGTACAATGTGAAGTAGTTAAGAAGGTGAAATATTTGGGAATTGAATTGACAATGAAAAATATAGATCTTTATAAGAATAATTATGAGAAACTTTGGACAAAAGTTCAGCAAGATTTGAAAAAATGGGATAATATGAATTTGTCACGTTTTACCCCGTTTGATGTTTTTATTTCAAACCATTCCGATATTGAAGGAAATTAAAGTGCTAAATCAATGGCAAAAAGACATTTCAAAGTTTGTTTGGGCAGGAAGAAAACCAAGAATTAAAATGAAAATTCTTTGTGACGCCAAAGAAAGAGGAGGATTTCAGTTGCCGAATTTCAGACTGTATTACGAAGCGATCTGCTTTACTTGGATAGAGCAGTGGATAAATTTGGATAATAAGAAGCTTTTAGCATTAAAAGGACATGATTGCAGATTTGGCTG